AGGTATTTCACAGGTATTTCACGTGAAATACACCGAAATACGCCTAAATATGCTCCAAAACAGTGAACTTTTCCTGAGAAATACCGACGAAATACACGTATTACGAAATACTGTGTGCACGGAAATCTCGAGTGAAAACCCCCTCGATTGTCCCTGCCCCCTATAGCAAGCTGCAGTCAAATATTTGCACTATCTCACATGCCATATGGTAGAATGAACCTTCAACAACCTATCCGCAAAGAAGTTTTCGAACAAAAACGTCGGCATACGGTCGTAAACGACCCGATTCTAACCCTCTGCTCTTAGTCCGAGCGCTAAGAAACTCACCTTGTCTGTCTCTGTCTGCGCAGTCCCTAGCGGCGCCGGCTGTAGCTCCCATCACAGTGGGACGGGTGAGGTGGCGGTAGCGCGACTCAGTAGTGAAAAGAACTGTCTACAGATGGCACTGTGCCCGGTTTACCTGCGCCGTACCGTTTACCCGCTAGGGGCGTTCAAAGTGGCAGGGGACAATCAGTGTACCCCGGACAATCACTGTATCCTCTACCCTATGTCTTTGCACATGCCGACTCCTTTAGACTAAATGGAATTTGTACCCTGTCATCATTTGGACCCATTTCCAGGATTTGCTCTTTGATGCGAACAATAGCGTTTAACTCATGTAAGAAGTCTATTCCTAACAAGTTTTCCTCTATATCCGCCTCATAAGCTAGGAACTTAAAAATTTTTCCTCCTATGGTGAACTTTGTCATTTCTGGACCATATAAGTTTGCTTTGTGTGCAGTGACTCCTTTCAGTCTTAACTTTGCAACGGGAAGATTCCTTGATCTAGCGAGTACAGTAATAACATCAGCTGTATCTATAACACAATCTTTATTTTTATTATTTATTTTACATGAGATCGTTGGCGCTGTACTAACAGTTGTACACGCATTACAAGTGACGTCTTCCCGGTGACCGTCGTCGTTGTCGTCCTTGGGGCTGCTTTGGTCCATGGCTTCTCCTTTGACGGAAACTTCTACTTCGGTCACCGGTGGACTTGTAGTGCTCTCCTCCTCCACCTCCATAGCCACCGTGTCGATGGAAGTGGTTAGCCGTTTCCCTGGCTTTGGTTGTTTGGCACAAACGGTACCGAGGTGCTGGAACTGCTGCTACTGCTGCTGCTTCCCTGGCCCTCTCCGTTGTTGCCCTTCTGCTGGTTGATGAACCATTGCAGAGTCGCCTTGTAGAGATCAGGAGGGACGTTGGGCATCTGGAAGCTGGAGCCGCTGCTTCCGCTGCCGTTGCTGCAGCTGGCGCCGCCTCCGCCTCCACCTCCTCGCCCATTTCCTCCGCTTGATCTGCAGTTTCGGGCCATGTGCCCCTTCTTTCCACAATTATGACAAACAATATTAGTAATGTCTCTTAACGCACCTTTGGGGTTTCCATTGTTGTGCCAGCAGTTTGCTGCGCGATGTCCTTGCTTGCCGCACACTCGGCAAATTAGGTCTCGGTCTGGGTTGTCTCCTCCCTGGCCTGATGATCCACCTCGGCCTCCTCGGCCTCCTCTCCCTCTTCCTCGGCCCCTTCCCCTGCTCGGGCCGGCTTGTGTCTCGGCGTCCGCTGATGGGAACACCATGGAGACCTTGGCCTCTGGGGTATTGTCTTCCCCTGCTGCTTCCTCCGCTTTGGCCAGCCTTATCTTCTTAGCCTGGGGTTCCTCCACCTCTAGGCTGAGCCCCCTGTTGAGCGTCTTGAGGGCCTCGTCGAGACTTGGAAGCGCCGCGTAAGCGAGCCTGGCGGCCGCTTTCTTGTCGCTAATGCCCTTGATGAACTTTTCGACTAAGGCCTCCTGGATGTCCTCCTCCTTCATGTTGCGTAGATAGGACCGGCCTAGCCGTTCCACTTGGCGTGCAAACTGCCTGATGGTTTGATCCTTCTCCTGGACCAGTGTATTGAAGTCCTTTTTGCGCTCCCACATGGAAGCGGTTTTGCTAAAAGTCTTCACCAGCGCCTGATCCAGACTCTCATACGTGATTGGGATCTCCTGGTGCTGCAGATTGGCTATCACATCCGTGGCGTTGCCTGTGAGAGCCTGCAGCAGAGCGGTCTTCTTGTCCTGGTCGGACCATTCGTTGGCCTCTGCCAACGTGACAAACTGCACCTGGTAAACTGAATAGTCTGTTTCTCCACTATACCTGGGCACGTCGTTAAATTTCTTGTTGCGGTGCTCGCTTGGACGGTTGGTGATCCTCTCGAGCGCTTGCAGGAACATCGCTCTCTCCCGGAGCTGCCGTTCCCTGCGCCGCAGCTGTCGTTCATGGCGACGTCTGGCTTGGGCCATGGTACGGCGGCGACCTCGCCGTCCCCTGGGTTGTTCGCCTCGTTGCTCGTCGTTGTCCACCTGCTGTTCGGCGTCGACGTTGTGCTGCTCCGCCTCTCGATGCTCGTGTCGCCAACCTCTGCGCTGATCGCCTACATGATCCTCCTCTTCCCCCTGAAGTACCCCCTGGTTTTGAGCAGCTTCCTGCCCCGGAGCTCCTTCGGCGTCTCTGAATCGGACGGGCACATGGTCTCGTCGTCCTGGCTCTCCGAGTCCGTCGTCTGTGTCCATTGGTTCCTCCAACTGCTGCTGTCTGGGCTGCCGACCCAGCTGGCGTCGTCCTCTGCCTCGACCGCGTGGACGTCCTCGGCCTCCTCCCCTCCGCCGTCGATTTTGAGCAGGTAGATCGCGGAGCTCGGGGAAAGCTCTCTGGTCGGAGTCCTCCTCGGGGTCGCTGTCGGTGCTGGACGCGCCGCTCGTGAAGCTGGTAGCCTCACTGTCGGACATCCCCGTGGCCTCGCTGACAGATGTCCTGGTGGCCTCACTCTCGGACACTCCTGCGGCCTCGTTGTCTGCTGCTGCTGGGGCCTCACTCTCTGACATCTTGTGATCGCTTCGGGTGGTTCTACCTTGAA